CCCACTATAAGTGTGTGCGGTTTTATGTGTGATTTGAGTTTCAGTAATGTTTCTTTTACAAACATGGATGCCTTTGTATTTGGGGCATAAATGTTCAGAATTAAGACTTCATCCTGATGGGTTTCTCTTGTGATGAGTAGAATATGACCTTCTTTATCTCTTTTGACTGATTTTAGTTTAAAGTCCAATTTGTTGGATATTAGGATGGCTACCCTCGCTTGTTTCTTGGGTCCATTTGATTGGAAGATCTTTCCCCAACCTTTAATTCTTAGGTACCATCTGTCTTTGAAGTTGAGATGAGTTTCCTGTATGCAGCAGAAGGAAGGATTCTGTCTTTGTATCCATTCTGCTAATCTGTGTCTTTTTATAGGGGAGTTAAGACCATTAATGTTGATGGATATTAATGACCATTGATTATTGTTCATTCTTATTTGTTTTTGATTTGGTGATGGTGATGAGATTATGTGTGGGATTCTGTCCCTTTTTCTTTTGGCTATTGGTAAGTTGGGATTATCTATTGCCTATGTTTTTCTGGTTATAGGTAACTTCCTTGGGTTGCAGTTTTCCTTCCAGTACTTTCTGTAGGGCTGGATTGGTGGATATGTATTGTTTGAATCTGATTTGTCATGGAATATCTTGTTTTCTCCATCTATAATGATTGAAATCTTTGCTGGGTATAGTAGTCTGGGTTGGCATCCATGGTCTTTTAGTGTAGGTATAATATCAATCCAGACCTTCTGGCTTTCAGAGTTTCCAAGGAAAAGTCAGGTGTGATTCTGATAGGTTTGCCTTTATAGGTTACTTTGACATTTTTCTTTGCTGCTCTTAATATTTTCTCTTTGTTATGTATGTTTGGTGTTTTGATTATTATGTGGGTGTAGCAAGAGTTTCTTGCTCTCCTGGTGGGTGTGGGACCAAGGTTCTCTTCTGGTAGATGCAAACAGATCCAATACTCTGATGTCGGTCCTCTTTCTCGTGGATGGAGGTGTCACTGTTACCCGGGCATCGGCAATGTTCAGGTGTGCTGGGTCCCGCCGGGGCTGGCAGTTGGAGGCAGAGCTGTCACCAGGCCTCGGTGTGCTGGATCCCGCCCCTGAACTGGGTCCAGCATGCCGGTTGCTTGTGTCAGATGACTCTGAGCAGCAACAACGACCTGGAAACAGTTCCTGGCCTACCTGGGCTGGCGGATGGAGGCAGGGCTGCCTCTGGGTGTTCAGTGTTTGGATCCCGGCACTGAACTCGGTCCGGCACACAGGTCGCTTGTGTCAGATGACTCTGAGCAGTGACGATGATCCAGTAGCCAGTATTTTAAAATGCAGTAAAAATACAGCAAATTTATCAAAATGGGGCTCTAGTTCAGACATGAGAGGGACAGAGCTTTGAAAACTGGAGAATAATGTAACTTTCTCTTTACTGGATATACCCAAGATTATAAATTCATGCCTATATTAAGTAGAAAAGATATATATCTGTATTAAAAGAAAAAATTAGTTGCCTATAATTTCCATACATGTTCCAAAATATTAATTTGATGTATAGAAATGCTCCTGCTACAAGCCAAAATATTAGGTTATAAACATTATATATGACTGTAGACTAGCAAGGTCATAATAATCTGTCACCTCTTTCAAATATCATGTCATTGAAGGATGCAGTTTATACAGTGTATGATCCAGATACTTGCTCTTCAAATTCATTTCCAAGATTACATAAGTGACTGCCAGAAATTTGTAAGGAAAATCCTTATCTAACTGAGCTTGGCGGATGTTTTCATGTTGGGAGTGTGTTCCTCAGATACATATGGAATGTTGATCATAGGATTAATTATTGCTCCTCTAGAAAGTGTCCATTGGTCTCGTCTCTTCCAGGGAGCTATCATTTAAGAAAGGAGATACTGTCTACATCCTCAGGAAAATCGACCAGAACTGGTATGAGGGGGAGCACTACGGCAGAGTGGGCATCTTTCCAATCTCATACGTAGAGGTACGTCCTTTCTCCTCATCTCCAGAAGGATGCTGTTCCAAAGGTTATCACAAGTTTCAGAACCAACTGAAACTGTTCTCCATTATAGAAACTAACACCTCCAGAAAAAGCACAGCCTGCCAGACCACCACCCCCAGTCCAGCCTGGAGAGATTGGCGAAGCCATAGCCAAATACAACTTCAATGCAGACACAAACGTGGAACTCTCCCTGCGAAAGGTAACCTAGATGTGTTCTTCACTGGGGTGTTTTCACAGACTGTACAATTCTGAACCCAAGTTAGATAAGCTTATTTTTTAGAACATCCTTCCACCTGTTACCTTCTGGGTTTGCTCTTTAACAACATCTTGCTAACTCTCTTCTGGCCCTTTTGTAATTTTGAAAAAGAGAGTTAAATAAAGTTATCTGGCATTGGCCTGTCTGCTGCAGGAAGCATAATAGTGATTAGAAATGCCTACTATTGCAAAAATCCAACATTTCTATTCAAATGGCCAGAATGGCATAGCCACTCACCAATTAAAATGGATGCTGGTGTTAGCCTGTCCTGGTGAGACAAGGGGATGTTAGCCCACTCCACAGCTATGGAAATTCTAGGTTACCATCTTTGCCTCATGCTTTTTATTCACTCTTTGTCACTTGTCAGGACATGCAAATTAAAGAAGGAAAATGGTATGTCATTCCACTTCATGCCTTCCAGAGGATGGCTTCCATGATCCATTTCAGAGACATTTTCTTCTCCCTATGGATCATCACACTGATTCTGGTAGACGAGTCTACTGTCATTGAGATGGCATCTCTCACACCATCTGCCTTTTGAAATAACTTCCAAAGATCATTTTACTTTGTACCAGTATGAAACATGTATAATCCCATTCCCATTAACCAAGCATCCTTAGGCCTCTAATGTCACAAATGAAAGGTTTAACATGCATTCATACTGACAAACTATGTGTCTCTACTTATAACATACTTCCCAATGCTCGTTACAGGGTGATAGAATTATTCTTCTTAAAAGAGTTGATCAAAACTGGTATGAAGGTAAAATCCCGGGAAGCAACAGGCAAGGCATCTTCCCTGTCTCCTATGTAGAAGTCATCAAGAAGAACACAAAAGGTGCTGACGATTACCCTGACCCTCCTCTACCCCACAGCTACTCTAGTGATAGAATTCACAGCCTAAGTTCCAATAAGGTAAGCAATCATTCTATCATGTTAACTCTGAATTTGGGATCTCGGGATATCATAATCAGTGGGTGATTTGGGGGACCATCAGACCATCATATCATTGAAAAGAAACAAACTCATATATTATGTTCATATATGTGAGTTCCAGATCAGAAAATGTAAGTTAATTTTCCTTTCTTAGATGCTGGGATAAAGGCTTAGTGTTCATTTTTGCTAATTCGGTTCTCAAGTTTAAGTGCATGAAGAGAAAGGAAATGTTAGTATCATCAGCATTTCTTGATACATCTCTGTATTTTTGTGTATATACATTACCCAGGCACACATACATACATTTACCCCTAAACTGTGTATCATTATGTAATTATTAGGTGTACAATAGTCTATGAAAGTCTGAGGGCATTTTCTACATAGCGTAAGACATTTTTAATTTAGGGCCTATAATTTTGCATGAAATTATGATAGATTATTATAAATAGTTACAGTTCTTTTTCATTAGTTTTAGGGCCATGAATTCCATTAATTCACTTAAGCTGACAGCTGAAGATGATTGATTATCTTCCTCAATACAATTTAGAAAAGGTCTTTCCTTCCTGAATTGGTTCATTAGATTAAAGCTATCCTCCTACTTCCCTTAATCACAAAAAAAACGTTTTTCCTCATTTTTCTGTTGAATTATAAGCTATTTTAGGGGTATATGTAGGGGTTTCTTTCGCCTTTACAGTGATTAAAATATAAAAAATCACCAGTGAATTATTTCCAAAATATTGTCAAATGCCTCCCAATGTGAAAAAAGGATGGATTGGGTTGTATAATACATTAACTGTTTTAGTTGAGATCAAGGCAAGGATGTGTAAAAACAGATTATTAACATTGTGAAAGGGTGAAGTCAAGGTCATCTTCAGCCAGTGTCTCCAGGACCTAAGCCACTCTGTGTAGTAAATAAATAACCTATGAATATATCTCAGTTGAGATATTTTCCTCCTTTAAAAAGTCTTAGTATTTGATATTATTCATTCTAATCCTTTTCGAAAAATGGGTTCTAATCATGGGTAATTAATTACCCTAAAGTGTCTATCACTGGATAACTGATAGCAGTTTGAACCAGTTTGATCATAAAGGTTCTAGAATTTAACATTCAGAGATCAACATCCTCCCTTCAGTAGTTTCTACTGATAATGGGGGGAAAAGAATCTTCATCCATCTGCATGTTTTACCCACCATCCATCTATCATAAAAGAACCATCAGATGACTCTTGAGTGACTGAACTTTTAAATAAACTGATTCAGAAGAGAACATCATGCATCTACAAATGCTTTCTTAGCACTGAAGAACTTCTCCCATATGCTGTAATTAACAATGGCAAGCAAATATTTTAAGTCAGCGTTTGTGGTCTTTGCTCTGAATCTGTTTTAAATGCCATTCATGTTTTGTTATTGTTGTTGTAATACCACATTTTGAATCAAGGAATGTACAAATACCAAATTTTAATAGAAGAATGTATTAGTTACACTAGTAACTAATTGTCTTCATCTGTTTCAAAAACAATCAAAGGTTATTTCCATAATTTGAAAGAAATTCTAGTTTCATCTCCACTGGTTATCTATCCTATGATGTCATTGGCTTAAGGAAGAAAATTCCTGCAGTGTTGCCCTGGTCAATAAAAAGAAATAGGTCTTTTAAATAGTGAGATACAAAAGCAGCAACAAGGCACAGCTCCTGTTTTCCAACTGATATTTGCAAATAGACAAAAGGAATGCTAATGAGTTTTGAATCACTCAGGCAAATTCAAATTACATAATTTAATATAGTTCTATTTTGAGAAAGACTCAAATATAAGTTGCTTATTATTTATGATTTTAGTACAATAGAATCCAATTCTGATCCTTTTATTTCTTTTACTTTTATTCATTTTACATACCAACCACAGTCCTCCTCCCCTTTCCCTCTTCCCCCCCACCTTCCCCTTTTTTAAGATGAAATAACCAGTTAAAAGCACTGGCTGCTCTTCCAGAGGACTTTGGGTCAATTCCAAGCACTCACATGGCACCTCTCAACTGTCTGTAACTCCAGTTCTAGAGGATCTGACACCATCATACAGACATACATGCAGGCAAAACACCAATGCACATGAAATAAAAAGGAATAAATTATATTTTAAAAAGAAGAAATAACTTTAATTTTGTGTTATAAGTATGGTATGTGATGTAGGTACTCCATCAAAATTAACACTTAATTTGACTTTTGGTCTTATCAAGTCCAATTTAAAGTGTTTGCTCTTTTGGCCTTTTAACATGTATAGAGGTGACTCAAGGGCAGTGACAGTAAAGTCAGTAGTAGCAGATCCCAATAGAGACTACAGTTTCAATGACAATGGTGAAACCTAGAGATTTCTTGTGCACATAGTATTTCTGTCAACAAGAGGAAAAAAAATAAAGATATTTGCCCACTATCAATTTCACTCATTTCCAAAATCTAAGTCCTAAGATCAAATCTTGCATCCAACAAGTATAAAATCAAATTTTAGCCAGTAAGAGAGCTTGACAGTCAATGGACTATCAAATGAGACCGTCTACAGGACCAGTACAGCAATCAGCTCATCATAAAACACATGTACAGTATGACTTCATATCAGTGGCTAAGCAGACTTGGATCTTGTATGAGTATGCACACATGGTTGTGTCATACTTGGTGCCATTTGTGACACCTTGTGGTGGCATTCCACCATATTTCCCTTAAAACTTAAATAAGTGCCCCATCCTCCAACAGAACACTTGAAGTCAATTATTCAGTGGGGAATACTATGCACTTAGACATAGCAAAGCCCATGGCTAAGAGAGCACCAGCTGCGTGTGTGAAGTATTATCCTGAGCAGTCAACCAGAACGTGCATCTCCAGCAACCGTTTCTGGAAGACCATTGGCCTCATAAACCAGAGTTAGCTATCTAGAAGCACTAAACTAAACCTTATCCACAGCCTCTCTCATGGTCTTTGTTGCACAGCATGTAGCATTGTTTCTCCTGTCCAGCAAGGGTAGAGCAGGATAAATTACAAATTACTCTGCAGGCCCTCCAGAAGTAATCCTTCTGAATTTGCATTTGTTGTTTTACTTACAATATTCAAGTTATATCAATAGTATCCAAATATAAAGAATGATATTTTGGCTTCAGAAGATCCAGCCTCATAAATTATATTCTTATGCTTACATAAAATATCCAGCTTAGAATATGAGTTTGCATCAGCATTTCATGTCCACTTCTGTATAAGCATTTACTTTGGAGTTTTTTTAAACTTTGAAGCAGTGGTTTCTGCAAAATTGGCTACATTCTGATCACGGGGCTATAGGATTAAGAAATTATGTTTTTAGCACTTAATTCCCTTAAACATGTGTTCATGTATACTAATCTAAAATACTCTCTGCCATGTACATGGGACAATTGTAAACACTCAAGGGAGTGGGTACTTCTGCAGGGAGGGAGAACAGTAAATAAATTCAGAGATTAAAACAAAGCTTAGTTACTTGATATTTCTCTGTGCTGACAATGCCCAGATACATTTGAAATGGACAAGGGTCCATGCAGTCTCAGAGAGGGAGATTAACATTAGGCCTCCTGGGGTTCCATTGCCTGCCCTCTTGATCTCTATGAAGCTCTATCTCTTCCTTTGATGCTTAAGATACCTTCTAAAACCAATAGAGATTAGTTGCTCAAGTAAGGTTTACAGTTAGTATAAATGATTTTAAGCATTTAAATTTCAAATAACTTCTCCCAGTCTAGACATCTTCCATCTCTGTCTGTGCTATAGCTTAAAATTATATTCACCACTGCACCTTTCCTGTATTTCTCTGTCGTTTTGTTTTCACGTGTTCTTATTTTCTTTGTTTTACTTCATAAACTCCTGCTCATTTATAAGTTGGCTTCCAGTGAACAGACCGGTCTTCCCATGTACAATGCTCTGCCTGGCACAGAGAAAGAAGCCCTCCAGGGAAATGCCCAAGAGCCACTAACCCTCACAGAATGGTGCCCACCAGCAAACACATTGGCCCCAACACCATCCTCTTTCCTCGACAATTTCTTGGTTGAATTAGAGAAGTTTAGTACTTTAACCTTGCCATCTGACCAGGCCAAACCAAACATCCTAAACCAGGTCGTCCTTGAAATTAAGGAGGAGCCCTCTCATCTCCCCCCCTCACTGCCTCCAGCCTCTGTATCACCTCGCTGTCTATCACCTTCTCCTCACTCAAGTACCACCTCAGCTGGGGCCCAGCATGGTGAGACGGTGTCTCTCCAGGATCCCACAAAGGACACTAAAAGAAAATTTATAGATTTGAATAAAAGGAGAGCAGGGCTTTCAAACCCTTCCAAAATCCTTGAAGTCCTAGGCGATAAATTTGTGGCCTCTGCATGCACCCATATGGATGCCTTGCCTATAACTCTTCCTGTCATTGGAGAGGAAGATGAGGAAATCTGTGATGGCCTTGCATACCAAAGATGGCTGCCAGGATCTCAAGAGCAAGATATCACATTGTATGACCACAACAGTACAGAGGCAACGTCACAACTGCACATCAATGAGGAAGAAGATGAGGAGGTCCCTGAAGGCTTAAAATATTCACTAGGCATTCTCACACATCCTAGGACCCACAACAAAGACAACAATGCAGCAAAAACCAGTAATGAGGTATTTAATTTTGTCTAGTTACTGGGGACTAACAAGTTTTAGAATTAGCCAGAAGAGCTAATATTACTAATTATCTACTCCTGACAGTGCCTTAATGGGCTTCCTTGTACGGAATAGAAGCATTGGAAATTCCAGGGTGGAAGGGGTATGTAAGCACAACACAGTTTATTGAAATGATGGGGATTTGTAGAGTACAATTCCACTCTCCCATTATTCCTTCGTCACTATAAATTTAACTTTTATGCACTGAAGCTTATTGTCTTTCTAATATCCATAATGATAGCTAATCATTAACTCTTAGTGTCAGGGGCTATTCTCAGAGCCCAGC